GAAGGAGATAGCGGTGTTGCTGATGCGCTGCGTCTTGTGCTTCCCCACCAGGTGTTCTCCCTCTGGCTTCCTATGTCCTATCACGAGGAAGATTTCTTCAGAGAGTACCTGAAGATGATGGCGAATATCGTCGTCCTGAACTTGCTCATTTGTATTTCTCTGGCTTTCTGGATCGTGTCCATAACTGCCAGTACGTACTACGGTAGGTCCAAAGGCCGGGCTGCGGAGAGGCCGGCACGGCACGGCGAAGCGGGGAGCCGAGTAGAGCTGCAAACCTCTGTCCTGACAGTCGCTAATAATGGTTCAGAAGGTGTTAACAGCCCCTGTACCCTCTACAGCTCTGCCCGGGAATCCCGTTCAATTTAAAGTGTTGCTATCCTTTGTGATTTTTCTCCCTAAAAGAAAGCAAATAAGATGAAAAAGTGAAAAGGAAGAGCAAGCTGATAGCAGTCGTTATCAGGGGAAGTAGTGACAGCACAGGAGGAGTGCACCAGCCGTCAGAACAGTTTTTGGAATGCACATGCAGCCTTTGAACAGGGCGCGCAAGAAGAATTCCTTCGTCAAGGAACAGAGAAATGGGAAATGGTACAAGAAGAGAGGGATGTGTGCATGGAGTCTCTGGCATGGGTGTATACAGTCAGCTCTGTGTTCAGGCAACTCAGGCAGGCTGCGGGTTGTGTGTAGTTGGAGGATGCTAGTACTTTCTGTGGTCTGTCATTTCAGTTACAGGACCATTTTTACAGCAATGTGCAAAGGCAGCAGTACTGCCTTCAGCATCAGTTCAAGCATGGAAGAGTTGCTTTCCCAGGACCCACAAAGACCTGTCCAGTGTCATTGCAGTGTTGCTGAGGGTGCCTAGGGATGCAGTATGAACATCCTCAACTGCTGCCCAGTGTCACCTTGGATCCTGAAAATGCTAGAATAAATATCCTACCCATATAAGCTGACTTTTGCAGTGGCAGTTGGATGTCTCTGCTCAGTGTTTTTCAGTGCTTTGGGTTTTAGGATGGGGTATTAGTCCCGGTACAGCATTAAATCGGTGTTGTCTGAACACTTCTCCTTTGGTATATAGGGAGATGTCAGACATATAGAAGGTATGCAGAAGCAGGCTTCACAACCAAGTTTTGTTTGTGTCATTTAGAGCTAGCCAAGTTGGATTTATACACACAATGTATTTAATACTTAATACTCTGTAGGCATGGCTCTCGTTAACAATTAGCTTTACTTGAGAAAAGCTTCTGAAGGTTTTTTTTTTTTTTAACAAAAACAGTCACTTGAAATCTCACTGAGATGTTTGTCAACTTCAAGTATATTTTTGAGAGCCTTACACTAAGTTCGAAAGGATTGAAAGGGCTGATTGTTTAGAAAGTGGTTGTGCCACTTTCACCTAGTAGCTTTCTTGTCATTTTTCTGGTAGTGAAATTCTGTCAAAGTAGTGTAGTTTAGGATATAATCAATAGCTTTCTTGTCTCTCAGACTGCAAAGATGGAAGACTTTTAAACTGTAGCATTAAGGAACAATTTATTCTCAGACTTTTAAATTTCAGTATTCTTTAAGGTGTACTTTTGGTATCTTTTGCAATGAAATTTGTGTCTTCCAATTTAAAGTCAAAATGAGGTGATAGAATGTAAAAAGTTGTATGAATCTTACTGCTAAGGCAGTAACTTATTGCATTAGTCTTGTGATTTAAGTAATATGCTTTTTAACTGGACAGTAACAACTCCTGTATTAACTGCTTTTATTTTAGTGAGTGTTCTGGAATTTTAGAAGGAAACAAATATGTTTAGGACATTGATAAATTGTCTCCGTAGAAGTTAAATTGCTATGGACACTAGTGCTTCATGCAATAGTGTGGAATTATGAGAGCTGAGTGGGATATTGTTGCCCTGTTCTGCAAGCTTGTTTAATTCAGATTATAGTGACTTGAATGACTAAGCAAAGGGAACAGGCTGGAAACTGAAGAAAAAAGCTTTTTAGAAGGTACTGTAGGTATTTTAATGAGAAAATAGTTTGATTTTTTGTTTTCAGTTTTGTTTGTAAAAGTAAACCATTTTTAGTTTTGAAAACCAACATTTTTTTGTTTGGGAGTAGTTCAAGTGGTCTGTCTTGGCAGTTTAAATTTAACAACTGCCAGTGAAGAATATCATTATGAGTAATCCTTTCTTGTAAAAAGTTTTGAGTTTGACTAATTTCCCATTAAATACTTCAAAACTTTCAAAGCTGGGTTTATTTTCTGTGTAGCAAGGAGGATAACAGGTAAGCCATTCTTCACAGATGTTAATACTGGACCTGAAATGAATTATTTATCTTCAGTTCCAAAAAACAGTATACTGTCCAAATACAGAAGCTTTGATTGTGTAGAATTGTTTTTATATGAAAGCAAGGAACTGGCAGATTTAAACCGTGCAATGTATTGTAATTATTAGCTCTGTGAGAAAACCAATAACCTACAATCAAATATTTGAATAGATGTAACACAGGAGGCTGTTTGATTAAATTATCTTAACCAGTAAACAAAGTAAAGAGGAAGCTCAGTGCTGTCTTGTTAATTTTGCCACCCCTAAATTCACATGTTGTAAACCTAAAATCCATACTCAAGTGAAATTACAAGGCAAGACTTGGGTAACGTGGCAATTCTGTTGCAGCTGCTGTCAGAGAACAAAAGTTGGTGGAAAGGATTCCGCCGCTATGCGGGGCACATTAACTCATAGAAGAAGGAGGGTATCTCCTAGCTTAAATATCTGACTTCAGTCTATGATGAATATACCATGCCACAAAGAAAATAATTTCTCATGCAAACATCTGCAAGCGAAAATAAATTCTCTTGTCATTAAATCTGTTTGATTGCGTTGTTCTAGATAAAATTGAGAAAAAATAAGAGAAGACAGTGGAATGTAGAAGTGGGAAAGAATTAGTTTAGAGAATCCTCAGAGAAGAAAAAATTCCTGAGTAGATATGCATTACAAGACATGAAATTGTTGGATGCAGCTTGCTTTTCAACAAGTCTCTGCAATGCACCAGACCAAAGTGTGAAGTTAGTTATACTGCTGCCAGGTTGGGAGGAGGCTGTGCATGCATGCGGGTGCGGTGGAGAGGGACTAAGCAAAGCAAAGAATGAGAAGTCTAAATCATGCGTGATTCTCAGCTAAGCCAAATTTTTGTGTAGAAACAGTTGGGACAAGAACTGCATTAGATAAATTCAGGCTCAATTGAGGATAAATGTTTAGGTGGAAACCAGACTATATAACATCTGTCTTGTATATCACATGGTTACCTTTCCTTAAATACAAAAATTTTTGTGTATATTGTTCTTTATTAAAATTACGATTTGGGGAATGCAGTGGCTTACTGAAATAAGCTTAATTCTTTAAGTGTTCCTAGTTTCCTTTGAATGTTTCTAGAACTTGCCCTTTTGGTGAAAAATTGAGGACTAAAGTCATAAGAACATCCATTGTAAAGGTAATGGATGTGTTCTCAATTCCTGAGGGATATAAATTCTGCCTGTTGAGGTGATGGGCTCCTGTGGTGGAGAGAGGGAGCCAAGAGCTTGGTTACCGTGGATAAAAGTGATCAGATAGTGATGCGAGAAAAGATAAGGAGAAGAACAGAGAGCAGCAGGGCAAATACATGTGTTATACCAAAGCTGTCTATAATTAATGTCCTGTATGACCGAAGAGGTCACTAGCTTGTTTCAGTACAGGTGAGTAATCATGGGAGGGGAATTACACCACGCAGGTTATTTCATACATTCTCATCTTTTTTTTGGAAATTAAACACCTTTCACTCTGTCAAAAAATTAATAGATTGATAGAAGTTGTAAAATCATGGTGTCTCTCTGCCCTGAGTACTGCATGCACTTGCAGTTGTCTCATTTCAAAATGCTCACAGCAGAACTAGAAAGGAAGAGTGAGACAGCAAGGATTATCAGAGCGGGTAACAGCATCCATTTGGAGGACTTAAATAGGTAAACATATTTTAGCATAGAGAGGGGACATCTATATAGGTCATGAATGGCAGGAAGAATGTGAATAGGAAATTGTTATTCAGTTGCTCATAAAATTTAGCAGATGTCCATTGACACTTGAGGCAGCGGGATCTTTGTTCGGCTTTTTGAAAGGCCTTTTTCAGGTACATGTAAAACCAGAATTTGGTTCTGTGGGTGGATGTGGAGATGAAAATTATAACTGTTTTAAAAAATGGATTGGGCAAATATATGGTGGATTTTAGGAATACCAATGTGAAAGTTCCCAATAAAACAGGGAAGATCAGTCTTTATCTGTTCCTTGGGCGCTTTCCATGTACATGTGCAGCTCACCACTGCCAGATGGGATTCTGACTCAGACAGATGTTTGGCTTGATCCAGTTTGGAAGTTCTTGTATTTTCAACCAAGTGTAGTGTGGAAACAATCAGAGCACTTTGGATACCAACAAAAGAGGAATATTTCTTTTTTAAAACTGTAAAAGAAGGCCAAGCATCTAAGCTTCCTTTCTTGTATTGTGTATATTACCACTAATGCTGTGATTAAACTGATGATTTGTTCAGACGAGCAGAAGGACAGAATCAGTGTATAAAATAAATATATATATGAACTGCAGGACTTCCTGCCAGTTTTCTTAGATGACATTAAGTATCACTGTAGCTCAGCTAAGCACTTAAATATATTACCGAATATGTCTTAAGTTTTCCAAACTAAAATAAAAAGGGTATGGTAATAATATAAAGCTATAGAAACTGTCACAGCCATTAGCTAGCTTATATGAATGTTGATGCCACCTCTCCACATAGACATGAAACTACTTCTGAAGTCTTCTCTCAGCCAAGTAGCAGCAGTCCTTCTATTAGTGTAGTGTAAAATTCTAATTGATAGCATAGACAACAAAGTGACAATATTAGGCACATCCTAGGAATAATTCAGAATACACAGATGATGAAAAAAGGGATGAAAAAGGTTGCTTGCTTTACATAACCAAGAGCTACCAAGCTAAATCTCTTGATAAACAGGAATGACTTTTCCTAAAAACACTGGTATTTGGGGTGACTTGAAAAACAAGGTAAAGCTTCTGATGTATTGTACTAATTTTCCTTCTATTACAATGCTAAAGAGCATTAGTAACTATAGACAGTGTTGTTCATTCCCTTTATTGTTACCATCTTTTCTGAAACTTCATTAAAAAAAAAAAAATTATTTGTTCCTATAGTTACCAGAGAATCAGTTATAACTTGATCTGTGAGGGGACCTCTTTATTTACTTAAAGTTGCTTTGCAGTCTCTTTACATGAGAGGACTGCTAATGTTTCACTAACTGGAATTTTAGCTTGAATTTTATTCATATTTGAAACAGAGTTCTACATACCTTACTGTGGCTGTATGGGGGTTTTCTTCCTAAAATATGAATTTACCTGTTCTATCCAAAGCAGGTTTCAGATGGTCTTAACATTTTGAATGTTAATTTTTGAAGTTTATAAAAACCTTTCAGAATGGAAATATCACTATGTTTATTTCTTGTTACATTTGCTATTTTTTGGTAATTAATTTTAGTTGATGTGATTTTTTTTTTTCAGTGAAAGCTGAATAGAAAAATTGAGTAGATAATTGCAGATATTTTGGTCTTCCATTCATAAGAATGTTTTTCTTCTGAAGGTTAAAAAGTTTTAATCTCTAATAAGATCAGATTTTAAATATATACTAGAAGATAATGACTTTTCAGATATAAAGACACTAAAAAGGCTTATAAGGATCATCTGTAACCCTTTTATTTGATTTATCAGGTACTTTACGACCCATTTCTCCATGGCGATGGCTTTTTTCAATCATGGTTCCACTGATGATTGCTACACAGGGTTTTAAGAAGAAGAGTCTTGATCACAGTGGTGCATTGGGAGGTATGTTTTTTCTGAGGCTGTTAAGCTAAACATTAAGTAAACTAAATTAAGGTCCTTTTTATTGTACCTAATATTCTTTTAAGACTTTCCTACCTAGTTCTGTTATAACAAAAGTATAAATGTAAGCGTACATACCTTGAATTTGTGCTGATTTTTTTTCTCACACCTGTTTAAGTAGTCAGGTTAATTTTTTTGCTGCTGTCTGTAATTCATTTGATTAATATTGTCATTGGATTTATATAAACCCAGAAGATTCTTTTAAACTTCAGTACAGTATGCTGTTAAATTGCTTGTTTTGTTTTAACATATAGATAATGAAATGGCAGAGGCAATGGTAAAGAAATACCATAAAACTGAGCTGTGTCAGCAGCCTGCCTGCCTGCCTGGTAGGAAACCAGTAAAGATAACGTGGTTCTACTTTCTGTAATATGAGCAGCTCTAGGCATTTTTTCCTCCCAAAAGTAAGAAGAAAATTGAATCTGTACTTCAAGCAAATGACCGTTTCAACAAAGTTTTTCTTGACCATGTGAGAAAAACCCCAATGTAGTGTGCAGTAGTGTTTGTTGAAATCTGATGCAGGATTTCTGGATGAGATGCTAATACACTTGTCTTGTGACATTGTCTGAATTGATAGGCAATGGAAAGAAACAGAACTTTGACTCATTTCTTCCCATGTCACCTATTTTGCAAATATTGTTTTGTCTGTGAGTTAAGGTACAGACACAGTAGTTAAATTTCAATTAGATATCCTTTGGCTTTTTTTTTTTCTTTCATTTTTGCACAGTATTACTGATCTGTGGCAAGAGAAGGTCTTAAAAATCACATTATGAGTAGCAATAAACATAGCAATTTAGCAATAAAATTTAGGAGAAAATTATAAAGATAACAGTTTTTTTTCAGTCAAGATTTATTTGGAATTCTCATACAGGTATTAGGTGCTTCAGTAATTCTCTTACTGCATGATTGTCTTAGGTTTATTATGAAGATACTTTTCATATTCAAGAGATTCAAAACAATTGCTTTGCAAAGCAGGCATTGTTACATGAAGGAACTGTATATACTTTTTTTTTCTTTGTAGGATTAGTGGTTGGATTTATCCTTACAGTTGCAAATTACAGTTTCTTCACTTCTTTGTTTGTATTTTTTGTTACTTCTTCAAAACTTACTAAATGGAAAAAAAATATAAAGAAGCAAATAGATTCAGAATACAAGGAAGGTAAGCTGTAACATTTTAATTCTTTCTGATCCCTTATAGACAATAAATACTGGTTATTCCTCTTCCTTTCCAAGGGTCAGATGAGATGTAACATCCAGGGAACACTGGATGTAGGGAACACTGTTGTTGTGCCTCCCTTCCACCCACATCCCTAGGGACATTAGCAAGCAACTTTGCTTTTGCTTCTGTTCTGCTTAATAAATTACTGTCTAGTTTCTGTTTTGAAAGTGTGTGTCTTTTTAAATTTAACTTTGTATATGTGTATTTTGCTTTTGTCTCACGCTGTTGCCTGTCAAGATATTTTGCCTGAAAATACTAAGGTTTAGTTTTTGTCACTTCAGGTGGACAGAGGAATTGGGTGCAAGTATTCTGTAATGGTGTTTTTTTGCTATCTTGTATATGATTGAAAATGGACCAGGTGAAATTCCAATTGACTTTTCAAAGCAATACACAGCATCATGGATGTGCTTATCCCTTTTGGGAGCTTTGGCATGCTCTGCTGGTGATACATGGGCTTCAGAAATTGGCAGTGTTATGAGTAAAAGCAAGCCTAGGTTGATAACAACCTGGGAAGAGGTTCCAGTAGGTAAGCTGTTATCTGTTCTACATGTTCCTAATATTTTGCTGATCTGTTTTGAATTATGCATCCAACTTGAAAAGTTCCGAAAAAGCCCCAGAAAAACAAACATCAGAAATCTGGGATTAGAAAATGTTAGGAGGAGTGCATTCACTGAAATGGAATGTACTCAGTTGTGTTTGTGCTGCATCTCTTTGGTGAGATGTACCAAAACAGCATCCAGGGAGCTAAAATTGTTCTTAGTGAATGCTGTCACTTCTCACCTCTGTCACTATAAAAAGTGTTTATATCGCCAATAATGTAAAGAATAAAAGTTATCAACAGAATTTTTCAGACATTAAAATTTTAATCTGTAGAAGAATATATATATATATTCAATACAGACACTAAAAAAAAATCAGTTCTCAAGCAAATCACTCATTTCCTTTAATATCTTACCAACACTGGGTAAAGTGAACCTTCTGTCTGTCAAACCTAGTCTACATAGGGGATGACATTGGTACCTTAAAGCAATGTGTCTTTTTTGAGTCTTGCTGGCATGTTGATCTGAGTTTTAGATCTTGTAGGATAGGATATAAATGCATGGGCTTTTTTTTTTTCTCTTCATAAGCGTTCTTCAGATTTTTATTCAATGAGCTGTCAACCATCTTCCTTTCTATGGATTTTGCTCTTTCTTTTAAATGTGTTGGTGAAATATGTCTTGTTATACTTCTTCTGAAAGAGGCATTGCTTTAATAACATGTACACCTCAAGCTCTGTATTTTTTTGACCAAATCCTTTTTATTATCCTGCCCCCCACACCTTACAGCACATACCAGATGACATTGAGAGGTGTGCTATCTGATTTTATTTTATTTGGTGCTAGTGAGTATTTCTAGATAGCTAGCATTAGAGACAGGAAAAGTAATAGTAGTAGGTTGTAATGGTACAGGTTAAGCTTCTCAGCAGCATAATGGGAATTGTAAATAAAAGCTGTGATAGCAAAGCCTTGTGGATAAAAGGGGGAAAGATCACTATGAACATAGTTTTGATTTAATATAAAACATTTGAACAAACTCTTTAAGAAAAAGTTTATAAATCAGTTTCCTATTTGTTTGATTTAGGTACTAATGGAGGAATTACTGTCGTGGGCCTGCTCTCAAGTTTGCTTGGAGGCATGGCAGTAGGTATAGCCTATTTCATAACACAACTCATTTTTGTGACTGATCTGGAGATATCTGCTCCGCAATGGCCACTTATTGTGTTTGCTGCAGCAGCTGGCTTGCTGGGGTCGCTTATTGATTCATATTTGGGAGCTACGATGCAATACAGCGGTAAGATTCTCTTTTTTGGTTGTGTTTTGTTTTTTTTTTTTCTCTCCTACTGTGTCCTAAAAATGGACTTGAATTTCCAGAAAGGCTGAGGAGATGATTTTTAAATGGAAAAAATACAGAATTAGCAACACAAAAGACAAAGGGAACCAAAGTGATGGAAAATATAATGAAAACAAGAGCAAAGGCAGTTGGTCCTTTTGCACTTTTTGATTTGTTTATCTTATGTTACTGTCTTGTTGATGTCTGAAAGAGACTAGATATCTCCAACATGTTACCTTGGAAGAAGCAATTGCTGCCCTCTCCACTTCTGTGTATCTAATTATGGTAAAATTTTATAAGAGAAAATGTCAGCATAATTTTATCCATTCACTCAGATTAAGTTGTCACTGCAGAAGCTCAATTTCTAACTCTGAAGACTTAGCAATAGTCTCAGCTTTAAGAATTAAATAAGAAAAGCTCCAGGAAAATGTGCACAATATTTTATGTTCTGGTTTTTTTTCACCACTTAATAGGGTACTGTTTCCTGTAAGTTAAGCTTATCATAAACCAGCTGTGACTTCAAAAAAAAAAAATCATGTCCATTTAAAAAAAATTGTTGGCTGGCTGATTCTAAATTATTTCAGTATTTATTTACTCATTGCCCTTAAGGATCATTGTGAATAAACACTACAGAAAGCCTTTAGGCTAAACTGTAAACTTACCCTATGTTTAAAAATTGTTTAAAGACCATATCTGACACTATTCTGTTTAACAGCTGGTTTACAGAGAGAATTTAAGTTTTCAGATTTCGTTGTTGGAAGTCAAGGTTTGAATGTGCAGACGAACTGCCTGAGACACACAAGTCCTTTGATTCACAGTGAGAACTGCGAACTGTTTTTGATGCTGTGGATTTGGCTTTCCAGCAGTTTTTATGTTCTATTCCTTGTAGTTCCAAGGAAGTCCAAAATATAATGGAGTGTTTAACCATTTGAGGAATTTTTAGATACAATATTTCTGTACTGAAAAGGAAACATTTAAGCACTCACCCAGTGTTTCATGCTCCTAAGGAGGCAAATGCATTAAGAGAATGTGGTAAACCTAGCTAATGCATGCCTGCCTGCATTTATCAGCATCTGTTTCTTCTTCACTTGAGATATTTTTCCATGCTCAGCAACTTACTTTGCTAGCTCTAGCAAGTATGCAAGTTACACAATATCTTTTACAAATTCATAAGCATGCCGATCCATAAACATGAGTATGTATACCTTATACACATTATACTATGGTGTATATGCTGTGATGTAGATGAAATAGTGCTGCTCATGTGGTGCATACTGTTAGGTTTTGTGTCCCTCTTTACTTTAACCCACTTTTCCAATCGCTACTCAATGTGGTCTCATAAAGAATACTCCACTCTCTCTGCAGCATCTTGAAAAGAAATAAATATAGCAGTGGTAATAAAGAATTGTGTCTTTTTTTGAAAACATTATGTTACCACTGTTTATCCCTTCTGTCAGTGTTTTTCGTGTTTGTAATCTTCCTAGATTTGGTTAACATAATATCTATGATACCCACTGTTTCTAAGAGAAAGTCCTTCACTTCCCACACATTTATTTGTTTGAATAGATGTGCAGAATTAGATTCATATTCTCCCATGTTATCAGTCTGAAACTGTACCTATTCTGTAAATAATCAACCTAGTTGAAAGACTTACTGTTATCCTTCCTGTTTGTTTATGCTCTGAATCTCTGCTTTGTGTGCATTTGAGGTATATATTTATAAAAAATTATTCCCAGTTTTTCTCTTAAGAAAACTCAGGACTTTCTAAAACATAGCAAGTGGTAAGAGTTAAACTATCAGGCTTTGAAGTTTGATTTTTGTCTAGCTCTTTTGCATTACCCAAAGCTAGGCTTAAATGTGTGATTCAAAGGTAACAGTAATACCAGCCATTTACCTGCCAAGCAGGTTTGTGGTGTGGAGTTTTTTTGAGTTTTGTTTAAGGTGCTGAATTTTTTTTTTTTGTAATAAAGCGGCAGCTCAAAATGAAATTTTCATGTTGTGGGTATTAGCAGGTATTCAGATCTACAGAGAAAAATAATGTTAATATGAAATGTACTGATTTCTTTTAGAATGTTTCGTCATGTCAACCTTAAATGTGAGCATATGCACATACCGGGTTATACTTCACTATAGTGTGAGTTGGCCTTAAAATCAAGCATGCTAGAATTTTATGCTTTTATCCACATATGAAATAATGCAGCTGGACAAGACAGAAAAACAGTGAGTGTACAGTGACAGCTAATGAAACACAATGGTAGAGTACTGACAATACAAAGGTAGAGCAAGAAATGGCTGAAGTACTAGGAAAACAAATCCAACTGCTGGTAGTATAAAACTGCAGTCTAAATAGAAATGATAAATTCAACCTCTGTAAAGAGCTTGTTTTCTGTCAGATCAAGTAATAATGTTATTTCCATAATTTTCCTTTGAAAACAAATACATCTAGACAAGGAAATACATGTTGCTAATCAGTTGTTTCTGCTCTGTTTGAAACAATGTCCTTTGCCTTAGAATAGCTCTTGGAATAGTTTTTCCTGTTCTGATTTAGCATGTTTTATTCCTTTCTTTGCTATGAAACTACATAGAGACGCAGCCCTGACAGAAGTATAACTTTTCAAAAGAAAAAACTTCTGACGTAAAGTATTGCATTTATATCCCGTTCTTTGAAGGTACTAGATTAAACTAATTTAGTTTAGTCTGTTGATGTCTTTTCTTGCAGAGGATTAACAGAATAACAGTAAACTAAACTCATAAAGTTGCATAAACTTGGTTACTATGTTTCTTTTCAGCTTTGTTGGCTCTGTAAAATGAAGTCTTTTATCTTTTCCCAGGTTTTGACCAGAATATCGGCATGGTTGTCAACCACCAAACAAACGACTCCAAGCATATATCTGGAAAACCTATATTAGACAACAATGCAGTAAATCTTTTTTCTTCTATAATCATAGCTTTGGTACTTCCAGGCGTGGCATGGTGTTTCTGGCCCAGGGGTTGAAATGGTTTAAGATTTTCTGCATGTGATTCAATTATGTTTAGTCTTACTCAATGACTTTGAGAAGTTCTCTTTGAACTCTCTTGAAGAGAGGGATCTGAAACTTTTGGAGAGCCAAAGGACTTTCCATCTCAACTTATTAAGGCTGTAGGCTTCCTGTGACAGCTGGCATCTGTCAGGGCAAGGAAGGGGTTTTGTCAATATGCACTTGCTGCTCTTTAAATGGATGTAGATCATTGCCAGGTGAGGTGAAGCACTTCATTTATCCTCATGGAGCTGAAGGGTTGGCGCCTACATTCTCTGCAGTCCCCAGCATCTGGAAGGGCAAGAAGCTGGAAATAAAGTCTAATCTACATCAATCAGTGTGATAGAGCATTGTGGCTGTTGTCCGAGCTAGACACAAAGTACACTGCAAATTTATGTAGGCAATGATAACACAGGTGAAATGAGAGAATTCTGGTATTTCCATAATCTACAGTATGTAAGGTTTCAGGAAAATATTGGGGGTGGGGAGAGAGAGAAGTAAGCCTTGTTGCCTATTCTGTATCCTGATACTATCTCCACTTTCCTGAGAACAGGGTTGTTAAAAGTTATGCTACTACATAATGTTTGAAGCAAAAGACTAAATTTAAAATAAAACCTCACTAGTTTTTCCAGTAAGAATAGTAAATGTGCTTTTTTGACATCTTTATTTCAAAACTAATGATATTTATGAAGATTGTCAATACTGTGGTACTTATTAAATTATGTGAAATTAAAGATTACTGTTGTGAATTCACATTAAAATCTTTAGAAATAGAACATTTTTTCCATGAGCATAGAATTGTTCCATAATGTTTACCATTCTGACCAAACTATACTCTCGTTTCCCATTTTTTTTTGGGGTTGCTATTCAGAGATGATGGCCTCAACAGAGAAGCTACAGAGTTTGTCCTTGTAGCGAATGGGGAAAGTCTCACAAAGCATTTCAAACTGGGAATTTAACTTCTGGTGCTAAGGATCTTCTGTTAGGTGATTCCTTCTTCCATCATTAATTTATAGAAGAAGTGGAAGTAATTTAGCCAGCACAGATTGTATTTAAGCCTTAGAGATACCATCATAATAACTGTCACTGTCAACATTTAGAAGGTAGAGCCCATACTGTTAACTTGTAAAGCTTTTTCATTTTAACTTTGGAGATAGGGGAGTATTTTGTATTAAACATCTGATTTTTTTTATTAATGTCTTGTGTATGTTGCCTATCTTAACTCACTTGAATTGTGTACTATGTCACCTTTTATGGGAGTATTCAAAAATTTTAACATCTTCCATGTTGAGTTTACTCTTTTGAAATCTAGTCTATATAAATCTGGAACTTATCACTGGAACTAGTTTACTGTGTTATCCAATTATAAAGATGAGATTTTAAACTGGTAAAAGTTTTCTGAAAAGAACAAATTGCGTGGCTGCTGTAGGTCTGCTCCTGTGGAAAGGCACAAAATTGTAAAAGGAATATATGCACTTGAACTGTAAATAAACAGTTCAGATTTTTATGCGTTGTTTGGATTTATGCCGCTTCTAAATAAACACTGTATTTGTTGTCCTTTAAGATTTTATTAATACTAGAGTTAAGAAAGACACAATTTTTGTAAGATTCTTTTTCTTTCAATTAAATTGAAATCGATTAAATTTTTGTATTCTTTCTATTCCTGAAACAAAGTATACTTTCAAACACTGAAGTAGACCTGGTCAGCTTTTCACTACTATTTAATATGGGTCTAATTTTAAAAACAGCTTGCCATAGTCAGAAGACACCTGTGATTTTCAATTCATAGCAGCGTGAAATGCTTTGATCTGTTATCATATGAATTAATATGATCTGAATGAACTCCTGCAGGTAGGACCTTCAAAGGAAGTTATTCAGAATTTTTTCTTTGTCATGTCTTGGTGATGACACTGAGTTGCTTTTGAAATTCCCACTCATAAATCTCTAGTGGTTACAACGATCTCAGCACTCTTGAACTCTGAAAAGGACAGTGTTAACTCTGAGTATATTATATTGAGTGGGGTATAGTTTATGAAATTTTTTTACATTTAACTATTTAGTAGCTGTAAAACTTAGCTGGGGCAGGGGAAGTAGGGGATACAAGGAAGAAGTTACACTGTGACAAACTGCCTGTAAATTGGATGTGTCACTAAGAGCAGTTACAGAGATCAGGGATACCACCTGTCCATGTACTAGTTGGAGAGACAGAAAATGCAGGAGCTAGGATAAAAACAAGAAAATTAATAGACTTGAAGGTGCAAAATAGGTCACTGCAGTAAGAAAATTTAATTCCGTTCTTTAAAGACTCCAATATTTCTTTTGCTTCAGAGCCATCAGTACCCTTAGTATATGAGATAACAGTCAGTGATTTTTACCTTTCATATTGAAGTGGCACCAATATTTCCACAGTACCAAGAGGATATTTTGTTACCTGAAGAGGTTACAGTTGTGGAGCGTTGCTCCTCATTCTTGGCTTGATTTTTAGGTGTGTTAGAAGCTAAGTAAAAGTATGATTATGATATAATTGCATATGAGAAATCTTTAGCCAGGTCTCGCTTAGGCTTGGTGTCTTGATCCTGAGTGTTGAAGTATACTGGTATCAGAGGACTGATACTCACAGCGCTGGGTGTCACCCTGGCCGCCAGCAGGGTGCTGATAACACAGCTTGGGAGGGGGCGGGGCCGGGACAGCTGACCCGGATTGGCTGGTTCTTAAC